CGTCCTCCTCCTCCTGCTCGTCCTCCTCCTCCTCCTGCTCGTCTTTCTTCTCCTGCTCCTCCTGCTCCTCGTCCTGCTCCTGCTCGTCCTCGTCCTCCTGGTCTTGCTCGTCCTCCTCCTCGTCGTGCTCTTGCCCCTGCTGAAAATGTGGCCCAGGAATGAAAGTTCTGGGAAGTCGAAGAACACGAAGTTGCCTACAGTTGGCTACGGGCATTCAAAATGTGGCCCGGGAATGGAGTTCTGGGAACTCGAAGAGCACGAAGTGGCCTAGAGTTGGCTCCGGGCATTCAAAATGTGGCCCGGGAATGGAGTTCTGGGAACTCGAAGAGCACGAAGTGGCCTACAGTTGGCTCCGGGCATTGAAAATGTGGCCCGGGAATGGAGTTCTGGGGACTCGAAGACCACGAAGTGGCCTACAGTTGGCTCCGGGCATTCAAAATGTGGCCCGGGAATGGAGTTCTGGGAAGTCGAAGAGCACGAAGTGGCCTACAGTTGGCTCCGGGCATTCAGAATGTGGCCCGGGAATGGAGTTCTGGGAGGTCGAAGAGCACGAAGTGTGCGACTGTTTGCTTAAAACGACTTCTGCGGCACCCTGTCCGGCACCCGCCCAGACCCCCCTGTGGAGTCATCTGCTGCTCTCTTTTAAGACTACTAGAAGCCTATCAGTCTTCGATGTTAGGTAACAATGCAAACCACACTCTGCCTCCAAATTCGGAACATGCGCAGCCAACCCGATGCGGCCCCCCCCCCACCATCCCTTTCAAACAACAATACATAGTACACTTGGCGGCGGCGGCGGCGGCGGCTGCGGCGGCTGCGGCGGCGGCGGCGGCGGCTGCGGCGGCTGCGGCGGCGGCGGCGGCGGCGGGGCGGTGGCGGTGGCGGTGGCGGTGGCGCAGCGGGGCGGCGGTCTGGCAGCGGGGGGCGGCGGCGGCGGCGGCGGCGGCGGCGGCGGCGGCGGCGGCGGCGGAGGCGGCGGCGGCGGATTGGCCCCCAGTAGCTGCCCATCCAAATACGACTGCTGAATATGCTCTGGCTCGGGCCAGACTCGGGTGCTACGTATGTGTTGGGAGGGCGGGTGGGAGTGAGCTAGACGGCGTGCGGGCGGGGAGGGGGTAACTTGACACCTCCCCCTACCCCCTCCCCTGGACCTGGACGGGGGGAGTCGCGAGGTGTCAGGGCGTCCAAAACGGTCTTGGCGAGGAAGCCAAAATCATTGGTTTACTATGGTTTTGGCCCCATTTGGGCCTCCTGAGGGGGGGACTGTAATTAGTAACCCCCTCCTGTGATCGATCTCACCCAGGATGGCCCAAAGATGGCCCCTAAGGCTCCCAAGGGTGCCCCAAGAGGGCCCCAAGAGGTGGCCAGGAAGCCCCAAGAGGCCCCCAGGATCAAGAGACCCCCAAGAGGCCCCAAGAGACCCCCCAGAGGCACCCAAGATGCTCCAAGAGGCCTCGGCGAGAATGCCAAATCATTGATTTTACCAAGGTTTTAGCCACATGTTGGCCTCTGGGGGGGGGGGGGCGCTGATTCAGATGACTCCAAGAGCGCCTGGGAGAGCCCACGATGACCTCCAAGATGGCTCAAGATATCCCAAGTCTCAGAATGGCTTTCTCTGTGTGCTGCCCACTTCCCTGATCGAGGCAATTCCTCTGGGCATCGTTTCTGGATGGGCTGGTGGGGATTCGCGAAGCGTCAACAATATTGGAGGTCAAACCCCAATATTGGGTTTGAAACCCAACATTGAGCTAAAACTCAATATTGAGATTCAAACTTCAATATTTCAATATTTCAATTCTGGAGTCCAGAATTGAACCTTTCCAATATTTCAATTGGGGCTTCCAACTCCAATATGGAAGTGGCGGCGGCCGAATTCAATTCCGAGGTTTTGAACTCAAATGTTGAGGTCACCGATTGAATATTTCAATTTTCAATCGGCCAGGGACCCACCCAGGGATTGGTTACTATATATATGTGCATATGACACCGGGCGAAGGTTCACAGGCCCCCCACCTCCGATGGGATGGGTCCCAGGGTTACACGGCCTCCCCCCATCAGGACGGGGTGGGGGACGACGACTACGCCGCCGACGCCGACGCCGACGCCGACGCCGACGCTGGCGCCGCCGCCGGTGCCGGCGCCGGCGCCGCCGACGACGACGACAACGACGACGACGAAGATGGCGACGAACCCGACGCCGACGCCGACGCGGACGCCGACCCCGACGCCCACGCCGCCGCCGACGACGAACCCGACGAACCCGACGTCGACGGACGACGACGACGACGACAACGACGACGACGACGACCACGACGACGACCACGACGACGACGACAACGACGACGACGACGACGACCACGATCACCACGACGACGACAACGACGACGACGACAACGTCGACGACGACGACAACGACGATGACGAACCACCACACACCCGCAGGGGAAGGGGGGGGTGCACCGGCACCCTCCACCACGCCACGCCCACAGGGCCACGATCA